CACTTCCCCTCTGGTGAGTGGGGGGGGACCCAGGCCCACCTACTACTCCAAGCCCCAACCCTGGGACCCTGTAAATAGCAGCCTCCTGTTGCTTCTCTGTAACCTTGGTCAATGCTGCTCTATTTCCCCGGGCCACTTCCCATGGCCCCAGCCCCTAATCTCAGAGCCTCAGCTATTCAGTCCCACGAACTAGTCACTGCTCTGTCCAAACTTGGTGCTTACAGTTCACTCAGCCCTCCAGGAACACAGTCCTTGCTCCCTGGGCTCCCAGCAGCAACTGCCCCTACCCTGCAACTCCCTTTTATATGGACCCTCTGGGCCCTGATTGGCTGTCCCTCCCAGTCCCTCTCCTACTGGCTGTTTCCCACGCAGCCTCCCCAGGGCTCTGTTAACTCTTTCTCTGCCAGTGTGGGGTAGTGGCCCCATCACACTATGTCATAGGTGCTAAGGAGGAGCTGTGTTCCCAGCCTTATGATGAGGTGCTGATCGAGGTCCATGCTGGTATAAAGAAAGCCCTCTTGCTATAGATTGGTATCTGTTTTAATGTGAGTCATCAAACCTTGGCCAAAGTTTAAAGTGACCTGGGTTGCAGATCTAAGACCACTGCAGTGAGAAGTAACACAAGTCAGGTATTCAGTGAGTCCATAGTAGCACCCCTTGATTGGAGGTGGAGCTCAGCCCTCATGGGCTACAGCCCCTATAAACTACCTGCTCTGTCAAGATGCTATTTTTAAACTTAGACACTTAAAGTTGATATTTAGTTGCCCAGCTCCAGACACCTGTGTTTAGAAAATATGTTGATGAATGGTACCAGCAATGGTGACATAATTAGTGTGAGGTGATTTTTTTTCAGCCAATAGTAAATTTGCCAAATAATATTCAGGGCCCCAAAACTATTCATGAATTTGAGGTGAACTCAGCAAATAGTTTCAGCTGAAAAAAAAATTAAAATATGTTGAAAGTTTCCTTCTGACATTTTTCAAACTGGACTGTGTCAACATGTCATTTAGGAAATGTCGTTTTGAATCACCATTCAAAATGTTTCATTCGACCAGAAGAAAATTTGTGTTTTTTTTTGTCTTGTTTTGGCAAGGGAACACTGGAGGAAAAAACCTCGTTTTGGTTTAAAACAAACCGAATATTTGGGGGTTTGGTTCAGCACCAAATTGAAAAATCAAATTATTCACTTCGTTTTAATCATAACGCTCTTGTTTAGAAGGGAACAAATGG